TCATGTTTTCAATCTAATCTTTCTAAAATGCACTTGCATTAGATTTAAATACATTTAAATTAGGCACTCAAATGATGTAGAATTATGCAAACAGTTAAACAGTTTCTTTTTATTTTGAAACAGAACGATTCTTTTCTGTAGTGCATAACCGTCATAATTATTATTATTATTATTTTTTATTATGCAATAGAAGAACAACAGATACAATTACAAAGACAAGTAAGAACAAAAGACAATAAGGGTTACAAACAATACTCCAAAGCATACTATGTTAGCTTATAAAACTTACACCATGAAAGCGTCTTACATGCAATAGAATTATTAGAGTTTCTTAAAGAGTTTCCATACACATCAAAATCTTTTCTGAAAAAAAAGTAGGGAGTTTTCTTTGAAAATGTACACTTGTGAATGTAAAATTTAGCAAGATATAGCAATAGATTAATAATAAATTTACAGTGAGAAGGGTCTAAATTCAAAGAGTAACCAAAAAAACACAATATACAAAAGTTTGGATATAAATATTTTTGAACAAAATTGGAAAAGTCAACCCAGAACACTTTAGGATCAGCACAGTCCCAAAACAAATGATTGATTGTTTCTTCAGACTGAAGGCAAAAGGAGCAATTGTGGGAAATACTATTGTTAAATTGAGCAAGTTTGTAATTTACCGGATAACAATTATGGATAATTTTGATAGAGACTTTAGAAACAACTTTATTAGATAAGAATAATTTTTGTCGAAGAAGCCAAAACTCTTCCCATTCTATATCACTAAATATTTTATTCCAAAAACTCACACAAGCAGGTAAAGAAATCTGAGATCTATTAATAATTGAATGAATGTCTTTGTTTGACATGGTATTGAGAAGACTTTGGTCAACAAATAAGTTAGTGTTATCAAAAAGAGGAGATTTTAACGAACCTTTAGCGACAGATTTTACTAAAGGTATAATACAATTGGGAATTGCACCAAACACAATGGCATATTCTCTTGGGGGGACTGGAAAAGAAAATTCTTGCATAAATTGTAAAAAGGACACCATGATCAGTGTTGGGGGTAACTCATTACAAGTAATGCGAGTTATGTAATCAGATTACTTTTTTCAAGTAACTAGTAAAGTAACGCATTACTTTTTTAATTTACAAGAAAATATCAGAGTTACTTTTTCAAAAAAGTAATGCCAGTTACTTTGTTTTCCCATTTATTGACTGACAGCTCTCCTGTTCCCATTGGGAGATATCGGAAGTACTGAGGAATTGTGTGCGCTGTGTGAACATGATGTTACTGTAGTTCTAGACTAAATGTGAATGTGCATTAATTCATCCCACTCACAAAAAACAGATTTAGTATTCATCAAAATGAATTAAAACAGTGAAATGCAAACTCAGAATATGACAATATGACGCAATAATTAAATATGTTAAATAACACAAATGTATCTAATCCCATTTTATTAACCAATGTCTTTGCTGCTGAGCTGCTGACCTCCAGTTCAACCATACTAATAAGCAAAAATGACTTTAGAGA